GAAGTTTATGTCAATCCAGTGCCCGGGGCTCCTCTCACCGTGCCTCTGAATACCTGGACCAGAGCTCCCTGCCTTAGCCACTACTCCATTATAAATGTTAGAATAGAAGAGATTCTCTAAGGCAGGGACTGTCTGGTTCTGTATTTCTAACCTCAGTGCTTAGCGTGGCGCTGAGCTTCATAAATGCTTTTCATTCATTCAGGAGGCAACTTTCCTGCTGAGATTGAGAAACTGAGGCCCTCTGAGACACAGGATAAATGTGCTTATAGGAGCAGAACACCAGAAAAGGTAGTCATAGTCACTCCTCTGCTCAAACACCTTCCATGGCTCCCTATTCCTTATATAGCACATGGCTAAGGCCACCTTATAAGAGCTACAGGGGCTCCATGTTTGGAAGGTATCCCAAATAGTGGATAGCATGCAGGACTTGGAGTCAGGAAGATGTGGGTTCAAATCTTGTTTCAGGCACTAGCTGTGTGGCCCTGGGCCAGTCACTTAATTTATGGAATTGCTAAATTCAAATAAGCAAGCATTTATTAAGCCATTACCATGTTCCAGACACCATGCTACGGTCTGAGGGTACAAAAAATGTTTTCTTCATCTGTGAAGAGGGGATAGTAATAGCACCTACCTCACTGGGCTGGTGTGAGGATTGAGTAGGATGATGCAGATAAAAATCGCATCTTTGCAAAGCTGAAAGTGCTCTACAAACTTTAGCAATTGTTTACAGCTGTACTGTGGGCTTTCTGAAGGCCCAAGAGAGGATAGCTTGGAGCTGAGTAGCCTCAGGGGATTAGCAGTTATAGATGGGCTGCTTAACAAGATTCTAATATGGAACTCTAAAGAGGACATTTGAAAACAAAATCTCTGCCCTTTAGAGGAAGAAAGCCAGAGAGGATTGTAGAGAAACTCGCCTGAGGTGGGCAGCTGGCCTGAGACTTTCAGGGGACCACCCCTGCTAGCTGAGGGGTAGAAAAATGCTGAGGAGCCCAGGTCACTGGCCAGTGTCTGTTGTCCCAGGTCCTGCCAGATGGTGGTAGATGGGTGGATAGAGGGAAACTGAGACAATGTCACACCTCTCACCTTCAAGACCAAAATGTTTGGGGGTGGGGTGTGTAAGCCCCTACCAAGAAAGGGCAACACCAGGGCAGAACACTGGGAGAGTAGGGAGAGAGAGATGGTTTCAGTTCTTACTAGGGGAGTATGGGGTGGGGGGAAGTATTTTGTTGGTTTTTCCAGTAGTAAAGAGACCATTTAATCTACATGTGAATGAGTAATCTTTTTGGATTAAATGAGAAGTTGGGTAAGAGACTGGAATCTTAATGGAATGGAGACTGAGCCAGGAGAGATTTATGAGATATGCTTTTGAGCTACATGTTGGAATCATAGAGAAAATTGGCCCCAGAGTTGGGAAGCTCAGGTTCAAATTCTGCTTCAGGTGGTCAAGACTGGCTGTGTGTGACCGGTGGCAAATCAATTAACCCCTCAGTGACCCAGGCGACTCTGAAGGCACAGACCAGTGGTCAGAAGACCTGAGTTCCTAAGCTCATAGATGAAGAGCAGGATGGGACTTCAGAAACCACCACATTTAACACCTTCATGTTACAGATGAGGAAACTGAGGCACACAGAGAGGTTACATTATTTGCCAAGTCACACAGCTAGCTAGTTGAGGCAGCTGGGTGGTCTAGGGGATAGAAAGCTGGTCTTGGAGTCAGGAAGACCTGAGTTCAAATATGGATTCAGACACAAATCACTTAACCACTGTTTGCCTCAGTTTCTTCATCTGTAAAATGGAAAAGTTGGATTAGGTGGCTTCCAACATTCCTTCTGGCTTTATATCTCTGATCCTAAGATGCAGAAATTCTATCATCCAAGCCTCTGAAACTGCTGAGAAGCTCCCTATCTGCTTTGCTAGAGGATGTTCCCTCTGCCAGTGAGCTCACAGGTCTGGATGTTTTGGGTTATTCACACCCCAATTCAGGGATTCTTAACCTTTGTGGTATCATAGACCCCTTTGGCATTCTGGTGAAGCCTAGTTGTCAAAATATTTATATAAAAATTCACTGACCCCAGGTTAACACCTTCCCCCACCCCCATCTATACAGAAGCTTGGGATGTGGTACTACAGGACGGTAGTGCTGGGAGATTTGGGGACAAGGTTTCCTGCCCAAGTGTATGTAGGGAAATTGGTGAGCTAGGACCGGTTCACACCTGTGCAGTTACTAAAGCCAGATCAGAGCTTAAAGATTCTCCAGTGACAGCACCAAATAGCTATTCCAACAAGGTGCTTAGTGTCTGTGTAAAGCCCTAGTGGGGGCACTCACTACCCCTTTCCATAAGGCTCTGCGTCATTTGGCCACATCCTACTTTTCTAGCCACAGCTTGTGTTTCTTCCCTTTTCATGCCAAGAAGCTCTAGGGGTACTGGACAGGTCTGTCCTGGAATACACCCTATACTCCTACATCTGTGCCGGACTCATGGCTCCTGATGCTTGAAATGCCCTCCCTTCCTTTCCCCATTCAATTCTTCCCCATCCTTCAAAGACAAATAAAAACACCACCTCTCCAAGGAAGTCTTTCTAGATCCCCCCTGGACTGCCCCACCAGAACCCCCATGGAGGAGCCAAAGATTACAAGCTGCTTGAATGCACATTGCAAATAACATTTTCCATTTCATCTTTACTTGTCTCTTCTCTCCCTCCCCCAGCATATAAGGTCCATGACTGTAAGCCTCAGAAGGTGTCTTCTTTTAACTCTTTTTTATTTGTTTCCCCAGCACTTAGTATAATGCTTGACACATAGTAGGAGTTAAATAAATGTTCATTGACTGACTGAACTTGATTTCTACCCTGGCACTCAGCACACTATACTGTAAGTACTTAATAAATGTTTGTTCTAGTCAACAATTATTGGGCGCCTCTGATGTTCTGGGCACTGAGGTAGGTGCTGAGGGTAGGAAGAGGAAAAAAAATAAAACAAATCCTGCCCTCAAGGAATGAATGAATGAGATAGAGGGTCAAGGATTGAAGATTCAGGGCTACAAGAGACTATCGTTCACTCTTAGTGACCCAATATGGGGTTATCTTGGCAAAGATAGTAGAGTGCTTTGCCATTTCCTTCTCCAGTGGATTAAGGAAAACAAGGTTAAGTGACTTGCTCAGGTTGACACAGCTAGTGAGTGCCTGAGGCCGCATTTGAACTCAGGTCTTCCTGACTTTAGGCCCAGCACTCTATCCACTGAGCTACCTAACTGCCTCTGAAAGGACCACAGAGATCATCTATTCCAAGGGTTCTCAACTGTGGGTCCCTTAACCTGTTTGTAGGGTATTTTGACAGCTGCATTTCAATATAATTGTAATTCTCTGTAGTTGATTTTATGCATTTAAATATTTTTCTATAAAGAGGTCCAAAGTCTTCACCAGACTGCCAGAGGGGTCCAGAGTGCAAAAAAAAGGTTGAAGAGTCCTTGGTCATTTTCCAGATAAGGAAGGCACCTTGAAAATCATAGACTATAGAATGTCAGAGCTGGGGAGGTCTTTGGAATTCAAGAACGTTGGGATGGAACGTGAGCTTCAGGTGGGGCTGGTCTCAGAGTCAGGAGGTCTCATCCTCAGCTCAGTTACCATCTTCTGCATGAAGCTTTTCCCAATTCCCTCCAACTACTAGGGACCTCCCTCCTTCCCAAGTTAGCTTATATTAAACTATTTTGTGAGCATACATGTGCTAATTCACTTTATATTTATGCTTCTATGTATCCTCGGTGCCTAGCACAATGCCTGATACACAGTAGGTACATAATAAATGCTTGGTAATCATCAGTTGTCTCCTGTAGAGTGAAGGGGGTGAACTCTATGACCTCTAGGGTGTCTTCTAACTCTAAATCTCTGATCCTTCAGAGAGGCTGTGAGTAGGCCAGGGTCACTTAGTCAGTCAATACACATTTATTACAGACTGATTCTGTGTTAAGGGCTGGTGATAAAAATTCAGACATGAAACAGTCCCTGTTCCCAAGGAGCTTATATTTTAATGGGAGAGACAACATGTATACATATACAATCACGGACGGGACAAACATCCTCTGAGAGGTGGGTGCTGAAGCCTGGGGTCTTCTGGCCTCCAGTTCCAACCCATCCTCTCAGCCACACTTTCTCCCCTAGGTCCAGAGAGGAGAACCTCAAAGTGGCCACTGGGAAATTCTCCTTCCTTTCTCCTTTCCATCAAAGGCTGGGCTGTGTGACCTCTCTGGATCAAGGCAGTTTCCAGGAGGCTGGGAGGCCCATGTTTTCCATCTATGTGGGGTGGGGTGGGGAGGAAGGGATTTGTGAATAGAGCCAGTCATTTGGCCAAGCTGCACCCACTCGGTGCGGAACAGAAGACCTGGATTTTTCCTGCCCCCTCACCTGTCCTAGCCCGGGGCCCTGGCCATCCCCTCTGGGACCTATTTCAATCATTCCTCAGGATCACAGAGGGGAATCCCCTCTACAGCACACTAGTCCCTGCTTGGTGATGCCCCCCACACCCCTACAGTGAGGGGGAGCTCACCATCTACCTAGACAGCCCGCTCCACTTGGGGGGCAATTTTAACGCTTAGGACGGAGTTTTTTCCCCCTTATCTATCACACTTAAATCTGCCTCATTCCCAACTTTCACCCGCGGCTCCCAGTTCTCCGCCAGGCGCCAAACAGGACAAGACTGATCCCAGTTCCATTAGCCCAGCTCCCAGTATCCTTCTCCTCTCCGCGCCGAGTCGTGCCTCAGTTTCCCCCCAGTCAGAGGAGTCGCAGATGGGACCTGGGAAGGAGGAAGAGAGAGGGGGCCGGGGGTGAGGAGGAGCCACGCCTTGCTGGTCAGGAAGACCGCGCTGGGGTAACCTGGCAGGCGGAGCCCACCCCTGCTGGGGCGGGGCGCGGCTGCGGCTGGAGCTGGAACCCGAGCCTCGGAGGGAGGGCGAGCCGGTGGGAGGGCCCAAGCGGGAGCCTCGGGGCTCCGAAGCTACTGGAGGCACTGTGCGCCCTCCCAGCCTGAAGTGGCTGTCCAGTGCTAGCAGGACTGCGCTCGGCTCTCTGGAGGGGTGAGTGCCTGGAGGGAGGAAGAGGAGGAGGAGGAGGAGGAGAAAAGGACATATGGACGGTGGACTCAGAGCTGGAAGGGAAATCTTTTAGTCCGAGGGGTTTCTTTTACAGAATAGGAAACTGAGGCCCAGAGAGGGCACAAGGTCACACAGAGTGGGAGCTAGAGGGGGCTCTGCGCAGGAGGTGGGGGAGGGGGTGGCTGACTGCCCTGCACAGCCCGGGCTTTGCCCCCTTTCTCCTCCCCTTCCTCTTCTCCTCCGTCTCCTCCAGGGTTCCTGGGAGTCCTGGCCCTGCAGACCTGAGCTAGGCTCTCGGCCCCGCCTCTCTATGAGGGACAGGGTAAGGGTCGCCAGGTCTGGGAGGTGGAAGGGGGCAGGGAGGCAGCGCCCCTCGATCCGGGCTGGAAGGGAAAAGTTTCCGCGCGGCGGGGGCGGGCCCTGAGCTGGGCGGCCCACCCACCTCGGCCGGGGCTGCAAGCTGGACCCCGTGGAGCTGCTTACCTCAGCCCCGGCCAGGAAGGCCCCTAGTCCCAGGACAGTGGCAGGTAAGGGCTCGGATGGGCAGGGGTTGGCATCGTGGCGTGAAGAGAGCCCGAGATTTGGAATCCAAGGGGTCTGAGTTCAAATGCTGCCTGTGCTCTTTTACTTACCAGCTGTGTGCCTAAGATCAGAGCCCTGCCCCTTTTGGGGCCTCAGTTTCCCCATTTGCAAAGTACAGGGTCTGGGCCCCATGATCTCTAAGGGCCATCTCCCCGTGACGGAACTTGGAGGTCACTCTTCACTGAGCAATCCTTCCCCCAACCCCCAGGCTGGCCTTGGCACCAGCCCCGGCCTGACCCACTAGAGGCCGGTTTCGTAAACCGGTGATCCTCATTGCCAGTGGGATGGCTCCTCCGCTTATCAATCCCTGGGTGCCGGGTGGATAGAGAGAGCTTGGGACCTGGAGGGACTTCCCCCGAATCATCCCCCCTCCTCCCTCTTGCCGGGCAGATTTGTTTGTTGGGAGGAGGGAGGCTGGGCCGGTGCTATTCCTCAAGACCTTGGGGGGCCAGATCATCTTGGTACAGTGCGTAAAACGCTGGCTGGTGGAATCCCAGCTCTGCCACTACTCACTGTGGGACTGGGCTAAGTGCTTTCCCTTTTCTTGTCCTCAGTTTCCTCCTTTGTAAAATGGGAAGGAGGAGGTGGAGTAGCTGGGGGGTCGATTCCAGCTCTGAGTCTAGGCCTTGGGGAAGGCCTGGAGAACGTGGGTTCCTCGATGATTAGCTGCCTACCCTTGGGGCTAGGCACTTTCCCACATACCCAAAGGGCCCCACCCTGCCTCTTAGAATCTGCTTTCCTTCGAGGCTCTGCTTAAACAATACCTCCTGCTGGAGGCCTTTCTGGTGACCCCGGCTACTCTAGCCCTCCCCCTGAGGGTGACCTTGTATGTGCTGTGCATGTCTGTGTGTGGTTGTCTCCTTGTAAGCTCCTTGAGGGCAGGATATTAGCTTGTGTTTGGATCCCCAGAGCTTTGCACAGTGCCTGGCACACAGTATTAAGTGCTTAATAAAGGCTCAGCGCCTTGCCTTGCCTTGCCTTGCCTAAATGCTTGTTGGTTGTTTGATTGTCAGTTGCCTCATCTGTAAAATGGGAGTAATGTACATTACTTACTTTCCTGGGGGTTACAGTGAGGAAGGGTCGTTGCAAATTTTGGAAAAGTCAGTGGAAATGGGTAGTGTTTATGTGAGCTGTTCAGATTTCCAAGGCTCCCTCCTGCCCCTTTCCCTATTGCCTCTCCCTCGTTCTTAGCCACAGGCATCTCTTGGTGGCTGGGGTGCCTTTTCTTAGCCTTTTTTCTATTACTCTGGGGCAGCCACCTCCCCTGAGGTTTGGCAGGGCTTGATGGGGCTGGGAAGCTGAGATACCAGCAGAGGAAGGGCAAGATCCTGGAACCCAGAGAGAGGGGCCAGGTCTTTGACCGGTCTAAGCCCCTGGTGGGAGCTGAGGGAAAGGGGCGGGTGCAGGAGGGGATGGCCAGAGAGCGGGGCTCTGGGATAAGGCAGGAGAACCTTTGACCCTTAATCATCCAGAGCCTCCTGGCAGCCCTTTAGTTAGTGATTCAGAAAGATCACTGATCTGGAAGCAGGGGCCCTGGAAACAACCCCACTCTCTTCTCCTTATTAGTTATGTGACCTAGCTTTGAATCCACTGGGGTCTGGGGAAAAGAACACTGGACGCATAAGTTAGAATCTGGCTTCAAATCTAATTAGCATTGTAACTTTGGGCAAATCATTAACATTTCTGAGCCTCAGTTTCTTCCTCTATAATGGGGATAAAATGAAGTTAGTACTTGGGTAATCTTGGGCAAGATACTGAACATCCCTTAAATAAGGGGGTTCAACTAGGCCTGCCAGCTCTAAAACCATGATCCTTTATTGCCTCTTCCATCACAGCCACCAGACTCCAAAAGGCTATGAAGTGGTCCTGGGGGAGGGGGGAGAACAGCTTAATAAATGCTTTAAGATGAGAAAAATTCTGCCCTCACTTGAAGGCTGATTACAGTAAAATCCCTTTGAGATGGTTGGGGCATTGTTGGGGGGCCTGGGATGGAGAGACATGGGGTTGTGGTATAAAGCCTGTTGGCTCTATATTATAGGGGTTAGAAGGTCTGGGATCCAGGCCCATCGCTGCTGCTGAGTGAGGTTGGGCGAGCCTGGGCCGCTTGGTTTCTAAAGCCCCTCCTTCCTCATGATGCCCCCAAAGGTCCCTTCCACCTTTAGACCCCATGACTGGTTGAGAGGGGGCGCTGTGGGGAGGGAAGGAAACTGGCAATTCTCTCGTAGAATTCTGTTGACAAAGATAATCTATATTTGACTAATGATGGAAATTAGATTCCCCAGCCCCTAAACTGGAGGCTTAAGCCCAGCCTGGCCTTTCTTTCTGTTTTGGGGAATTAGGGATCCATGGAACAAAGAAATACAGAAAACAAAAATACATTGAAAAATTCACAAGTACCGTCTCAGGCTTCTTAGTCATTTTCCTCTTGGAAAAGTAGGATTCCTCTTCAAATGCTGTTGTGTAGTATTGTGTAAAAATGGAATTTCCTCCCAGTGAATTCTGGGAAGGACAATGTTCTTGAGGTGGACAAGGCCTTCCTCCCCTCTCTGGGCCTTGGTTGATGCTGAGAGCTCCCTCCATTATAGAGTTTTCAGGCTTATAAACTTTCCCCAAAAACTACCCCAGCGAGGATGAGAGTGCAGATTTTATTATCCCCATTTTTGAGAAAAGTGGGTCAGATCACAAAGACTCTAAGGTTTCTTTGAGCTCTGACATTCTCTGTTCTAAGTCCACTCCCAGATTGGACATCCCCTATTCCAAGGCACCTCCCAGTTTTGACCTTTCCTGTTCTAAACCCTTTCCCAGCTCTGCCATTCCTTGTCCTAAGGCCCCTGCCAGCCCTGACACTCCTTGTTCTAAGGCCCCTTCCACCTCTGACATTCCATATTCTAAGGCCCCTTCTACCTCTGACCTTCCCTGTCCTAAGGCCCCTGCCAGCTCTGATATTCCATGTTCTAAGGCCCCTTCCACCTCTGACCTTCCCTGTTCTAGGGCCCCTCCCAGCTCTGACATTCCCTGTTCCAAGGACTGTCCAAGCTTCCACTGTATGATGGAAATTACAAGTCCTGGAATGTGGTGATTTTTACAGGCATTAGTGTAACTGGAGGTACTCATCCCCTTCCCTCAGTGTGTAGAATATAATGTAAACATGTAAACCTGTATAGGAAAAGTCCTCCATCTTGCCACCTGTAACCCTATTGACCAGTCTGTATATGCTTTAAGACAGTTTTTCTAGCACTGGAGATGGGTTTGCACTGAGCCATCCCCACCCTTTCATCTGGCCTAGTGAGAAGCATTTATGAAACAATCAGGATCGGGAATATGACCATGGAGTACAGAGAAGCTAGCGGCTCCACGGGATCTTACCTTCCTTGGCACCTGGCCCTAACCTCTGAAATCAACAGCTAAGACCAAGCCTGAACAGATCCAGGAGAGAGTCTGTGCCCTGGGGAAACTTAACTCATTTCAATTCAGTGAAACAGGCATTTATTAAGCACCTACTAGGTTCCAGACCCTGGGTACTGGTGATGCAATGAAACAATAGAACTTAATATTCTTCTAGGGGAAACAAAATGCAAACAGATACATATATAAAAAATGTATCCAAAGTAGACAAGCCGGTGTATGGAGAACTGGCTTCCTGGCTATGAAGCCTTGGCTTCTAGTCCTATCTCCTGACTGTGTGACCCTGGGCAAGTCACTTAATCTCCGAGTGCCCCATGCATCTCACAAGAAACCTAATGCATTTGCCAACAGTGACAGTGAGACTCATCCCATACAGAGACAAAAATGAAACCTTCTTGCCCTCAAGGAGTTTATATTCTATCTGGGAGAAAACATGAACACTTATAGGTAAGGACAAAAAGAGAAACAAGGTGGTTGGTGGGTAAGTGGAGGGCACACACAGACTCACGCTTCCTTTACGTCACCAAGAGCTCACACAGAGACTTAAGACCCTAGATTCAGAGCTTCGAAGGGTCCTTAGAAATGGTTTCTTCTGATCCCCTCATTTTACAGATGAGGGATTGCTGTGCTAAGCATTGGGAATACAAAGACAGAAGCCAAACAGTCCCCTGCCCTCAAGAAGCTTACATTCTATGGGGTGAAGAGCAGGTCAATATGTAGGTATAAATGCAAAACACATATAAAGCAGATTCAAAGTAACTTTCCAGAGGAAAGCACATGGCAGTGGTGGGGCCAAGAACAGCCTAATCCAGAAGGAGGGGCTGGAGCTAAATATTTAAGAAAGTGTGGTACAAATGATGGGGCCAGGGATTTGAACTGGCTCTTCTTCTTCTTCTTTTTCTTGGCCAGATGATTGGGGTTAAGTGACTTGCCCAGGGTCACACAGCTAGTGTCAAGTGTCTGAAGCTAGATTTGAACTCAGCTCCTTCTGACTC